AGATCGTTCACCGATCCGGGACCCGATCGTCGTTTGAGTCACGTTTTAGGTGGTCACGATTTATTCTGCCCGTGACAGTACCAAAATAAATTAACAATGATTCATGTTTCACAAATTTCTTAATGTAAATAAATAGCACGTTAGTTTGTATCATCCATTGAAATAATAATAAAATGCCGGATAACAACGAATTAACCTCACATGTAAAGGGTGAAAATTTTGAATATGAAGTTTACGAAGTAATTAAAACCAAATTCGCAAACCTAGGTAAAGTCACGATTCATACGATTACAGGTGGAACCATGGTATATGATAATACAACGGGCCTCATGAGTAGAAGTGGTAAATACACTTGTATTGGTGACAATGGTGTCGACATCACCCTCCTCTACGAAAAAAGATTTATTATCTTTCAATGCAAGTACCGTACTCCATGTCCAAAATGTATAACAAACAAAATACAATGTGAACATTGTTATTACAAAACCACATTTGCCGATACGATGACAACCGACGTTGAAAAATTTAACAATACTTTAAATGAATGGTCTAATAATACTATTGGATTCTTTGTGGTGAACGATGAAGTTAAGATACCTAACGAATACAAAGCAAATACAGAACATAAGCTCTTAAAACTTTCAAATCTATCACAGTTAGCAGAACGTTTACAAAAAGAAATTATCGAATCTAAAATTATCACTTTCACCATACAAGAAATTAAATATGATATTATTTCTGATATTGTAAACAATAATAATATCGGAAATACACTTGAGTATTTTAAAAGTTATAATCATGAATTATTGAATGAATCATTCGTGAAAAGAATCAAGACAATATGTAATACGTTAGATGAAATTATCATTGTATTTTATTATTCTGACGAGTATACCATCGATTTATTTAATAATAAAAATAATAATTTATAGTATCATATCATAAATAAAAGTCTATATATTAAACAAACATTCGAGATTGTAAATTCCACCTGAATCATTCTCATCCACCTCACCCAACCCTCAAATAATATTTGACATAAACTATACTTTACCAAATGTAATAAGAAAATTTTTAAACAAGTCTTCTCATAATGACTTGACTAGAAAATCGATCCTATGCCCCATTAGAGAAAAAATTGGTTTATTATTATGCCAATTGAATTGTATCTTAGTATCTTACAAAACACCACACTTACACGACGATTTACGGCCATGTGCCCAATAAGTAGCCAATCAAAATCCCGAAGATAGAAACACAATTAATGGATTTTTCATTATTAGTTTAATTAAAAATTTTTTTTTTTAAAAAAGTTACAATATCATATAAAATAATTAATCTGTAAATAATGTCGGGGATGATACTGAAATTGACTGATGCTGAAATTTAGAGTCCCCATTTAAATCTATAATACCTACTAAAATTCACATATACATTTTTACTAACAACACTAACCATAAACCCTAACCTAACCCTAAAAAAAACCCTAACAAAAAGGTCCGAAAATTTTTTAAAATTTCATAATAAAATAGCTCAAAATTTCAGCATCATCCCCGACAAATAATAATGTAAAAAGTGTACAATACACATGATGATTAATGCCGCGATTTGATTGGTTAACGCAAAGTATGTTGGCTCATTTTAAAAATTTGGGAGTTATAATTAAATTGGTCTGGTCTTAATATGATAAGGTGCGTATTATATAAAAATCTATGTTATATTTCTTAAGATGATTACGATTATTCCTTATTCGTTTAGTTTCCTACTGTATATTAGTTACGAGAAAATGTGTTTATTATCTCAAAAGCCCAGCTATTTCTTGTTTTTTTTATCAACATGTCTATCTAAGTCCGACTCCTTATTTACTTCCAACACCTTATATTCTTTGAGAGAACGTTTTTTGTTCAAATTTATCTCCTCTTGATTGGTTTGAATTTGATTTTGTTCTTCGTTAATGGCATTAAAGTTATTTTCTTCCATAAAACACCCTTTTTCGAGAACATTTTTGTTAAAACTATTTTCTTCAGGTGCAATAATATTTTCATCTAGGCTTTTGTTCGAAATGCTAGTTTCAGTAACATTTTTTTGAGGAAATTTTCTTGTCATTGTTTTATGTAATTTTTCACGTAAATTTTTATCAATCTTCTTTAAATTTTTTGGATAAATTAAATTATCAGGCAAATCGTCAGCCCAATATTTATTGTATACCCAGAAACTATTATCATTGTAATCAATGTCACATATAATCCCTCCTAATATATGTGACATATCGACTTCGATTTTTAAATAAACATCTCCCTCATCTTCAGATAGATCATCAATTTCATCATCATAAATATATTTTTTTGCTTCTTCTAGTGTAATATCTTCGGCAAATTTGATATTAAAATTTCCATTAATAAAATTATCTAAATCACCTGGTTGATTAACGTCATCAGATTCAATAGTAAATTTTACACAGCCATCTACATACCGTCTTTCAAGTTTAATTATGTAACCATGTGTATATGCATGAGTTTTTGTGAATCTTCTAAAAATAGCATTGCGTTTTTCTTTGCTTTTATCGTCAATTTTGCTTTTATCGTCAATTTTGCTTTCATCGTCAATTTTGCTTTTACCTTTACTTTTGAGACTTCTCTTTTCTTCAAAACCAAATATTTTGATAAAAGAATCCTGAGCCGTAAACAAGTTAAACTTTGAAACTATGTTAATGGGTTTTTTTTTCCTTCGTTTAATCTTTACTTGACCTTTTTCACAACAACTCATTAAATCATCAAAATTAAATGTGTCATGAGTCAATTCGTCTCTCATAATACACACTTGGTTATCATACTCATCAATATATTCAGAGTCTCTAGCTTTAGTGCAAATTGGACGACCCTTAGATAATGCATTAGCCAATTTTTCCATTAAAGAAGATTTTCCGGGTCCAGAATCACCATAAAAGAAAAAATTTTTCGGATAAAATTTTTTTTCTGGAATAATTTTATCCTTATATTCTAATTGTTTTTTTTCATAATAATCCAAATCTCGAAAATTTTTAATAAAGAATCGTGGTAAATGTTCTTTGGGATTTTCTAATATTTGTTTAAAAGAAATATTTTCCGTAACTATCCTTTCAATACGTTTCATATCTAACAATCTCATTTCATTAATTTCTTCGCATTCATGACTTTCATTTGAACCTTTGAGATTCCTCCATTTACCGAATTCAAAAGGTCCAACAATATCTGGAGTATCCTCCCAGCGGGCTAAAGTTTTATTTAGGTAACATTCATTAGTACAATGTTCACATCCACTATAATCATTTGGATCGGATAAACTACATTTGCATGTTTTTTTATCGTATGGATTATGATGTAATTTACATCGATTATGTTTTTTTTTTGCATACTCTCGATTGGAAGAGGAATCATCTCTTACGACTTCTTTAGAAGGGAAATATATTTCATCATCCTCAAATAGTTTTTTAACTAATCTCATAGTCATTTTTTTATTAAAAATTAAATGTGCTTGATTATATACTATTCCTTCTAATGATTCAAACTGATGTGTTATATAATCTAAACTTGAAGAATATTTCTCGAATTCTTCTTGCGTTCGTGGAAATGTATATTCACATTCAACTCCAAGCTCTATGCAGTGATCACATTTTTTCGGATTGTTACATTTATTAAACTTTTTACAGCAATTTTCACATTTACTGTCTCCGCAACGAATATGTGTTTTTCCACAATTATTACATTGAGATGGTAGTATTTTATCCGCGTCCATAAGTCCTTTTCGTTGCTTCTCTGATATTTTTTTTGTACATTTAAAATCCTCTTTACATCTCTTACAATGATAACTTGCAGCAAGAATTTGACGAAATTCTAATGATTTTGTCATTTTATTTTATGTAAATTATATATAATAATTAGGTTTTTTTTTCATGAGTAATAATATATAATTTTATGTGAAAAAAAATTATTGGATTATTTATTGGATTGGTTTTTTTTTTTTTTTTTTTTTTTTTTTAACGTTAAGTTATTTATTTATATTTTCCTAAGTCTAATGAAATAATCCTTTTTTAGATAAATCGAACTGTTATGATTCTGACTTCTTATGTTTCATAATTAACCCCAAAAAGGCATCCGGAAAGTGCGTTCCGGTTTGATTGTTGTTCCATTTTAACAAAATTCTTATCAAAAAAAATTATTAGATACGTAGCACGAAAATATAATAATACGTATGAAATAAAGAAATAAGAATTTCAAGAATCTTACTTTTAGTTGTACCAGCAGAGATATAATAAACTCGCTTATCTGAACAGAGATAGTAGTTGACTCGGATAGACCCTTCCTGGGTAGTAAAGTAGTACGGTACGGTACGGGAATGCAAATTAGGACTAACATGTGGAGATCATGATAGTAAGTTTTGTAAAAGAAAAGTTTCTTTCGAAACAAAGCTATTTTTCCTATAATAGAAGCAAAAAATGCTTCTAATTAAAAGAACAAAAAGATTCTTTTTTTGTTGTTAAAAAAGTAAAAATATTATTACCATCGTTATTAACCCCTAAAAAAACGTTGCGACATATATTGTCGTATAATATCACACGTCATATGAGCCTTTCAATTAATACCGATACTGTTACTTCATAGAGAGAAAATATTTATTTATTAGGCAATTACTATTTGTACACTAGTGTATATACACGGGGTATTGTTGGGTATTGTTGTTTCTTAAAATTTCGAT